GTTTAACTGAAGACAAGGGACAAGGGGATCTTGAGAAAATTTCCAGTAACATAAGGATGATTGTTGAAAATGATATAAGGTTTGGTCAAGACAAATATTAAATTAAAGGTAAATAGGTAATGGTTATTAATTTTTTTTGTAATAAGGCCTTCTTTGATTTGGGTTTAAATATAACCCATTTATATATGAACACACAAATATACATATAAACATTATGCATAAATATAAGGAGAAATTAAGTAAACTAACCAATTTTGTTATTATTATTATTATTATTATTATTATTATTATTATTATTATTATTATTATTATTATTATTTGAAAATTGTGCATTCCAAACTGGAGTTACCGGTCCATCCTACTCCGTATCGGGTTTCAGACAAGAAAACTAACTCAAACACCAAAGGAATTGGCAGGAAACATAAATTTGATGTCCATGGAAATTCCGACAAAAATCCAAAGGTTTTGTTTTGTTAGAGATGCCAAAAAGGGGCCATTTTAAGAATGAGTGGCATGTTAAATTTAATAATAATCCTACTAGAACAAGTTGAAGTCGATAAGAGTCTAAGGACCAAGTTCCACCAAAACGAGTCCATATTTTATTTAATTTTGACAAATATGTCCAGAATTATGTTTCACTTGTTCTCGAGTCTTTTTATATACACGATTGTGTATGGTGGATCGGATTTGTGGCAACAAGTCGAGAAATTGAAACCTATTGAAGATGATTTTTTGCTAAATACCGTAAATAGGTCGAGTTCACCAATGTATGGTTTGTATGGAAGTTACCTCTCGAAAAACAATTAATTTATCCAATGTATTGTTTTCACCAAGAATTCAAAAGAAATTTGTATATGGTTGGTGTTTGAAAAGTGTAGGATATAAACACGTTTATAAATCGGATTGGTATATCACTATATCTTATCTCGATAAGGTGTGTTTTACTTGATTGGTTATTTCTGCAATAGAATGTTGATAATTATTTTTTTATGTCTTCTTTTTCTTCTAAAATCGGTGACTTCATGCTTTGACATGCTAGCTAGATTGGGTGATGTTAAACGATTGAAGAATGCATGAAATGTCAAAAGATAGATTAATTCTAACATTTGACATCAATACTAAAAAAATATAGTACTTGAATGTTTACAAAAGTTACAAAACATCAATTTATTAATGACTTAAGTTTTGGAATATTTTCATCGGGGATTTGAACGACTTATGTTGTAACAGAGGAGAGAAGTGAATTGGAACGACTCATTAGTTGGTATTATTCATAAGACTACGAACTCCATACATAACATAGTGAAATGGAATATCGAATGAAAATTTTGAATTTTGAAAGAAAATATCAATCGTGAAGTTTAACATGTTTTGTTATGATATTAGTAGTATTTACAAACTTTTTTATGATATTAAAGATATTAAATTTTTTAAAATTCAACGGATTAGCAATTTATGGTCTCCGTTAATTATCGTCTAACCGATTAATCCCTTAACCGCAGTCTACCGACTAACTAACGTCGAATGTTTTTTACAAGATTGGTAATGAGGACTTTTAGGAGAGGGCATGTTAATGCATGCTATGTTTTGAGTAGCATTCCAAATAAAAGGAACAAAATAGCCCTATATAAGTTTAGATTAGTTAATTTGATTTATCGTATAACTAATATAATTATGAGAGTGCAAATACGATACTTGATATAATTTATATGCCATAGATTAAACCAACAAAATGACATCTCTAAAAAGATTACACTCATAACATGAAGGATTGTAGATATGGCTATGGCTCTCAAGAGCATTAAACATAAACATCTAATATATCTTTGATTGATGAATATACGTATATATAGATTCTTTAGTTAATTAGTTTTTAAACTTACAGTAGTCTTCAAGTTAATTAAAGAACAATCCCACAATTTACAGTTTGAATGACAATGAAGGATCAAGAGAACTGATCAGTGAACAATTTTCATAAAGCTTTCAAGCCTGTCATCTTCAACAACGTTTATCTTCAAATTATTCAGATCACTTTCATAATCCATCCACAAATACGACGTCTCTTCATCACATATCACTTCTTCCAACTGCAACAATTTGCTCATGGACTCCGGCAACTCCGGTAACCCATGGACACCGCTCATCTTAACCACTCTCAGGCTACATAGTTCCCCAATTTCATCTGGTAATAGACTTATACTCAAACAATCAGATAGATCAAGGAAGCTCAGATTATGAAGACGTCCAATTGATTCTGGTAATTCTTGTAGTTTTGTGCAACAATGGAGGTTCAGAATCTGAAGCTTGGAAAGATTACCCAAATTTTTAGGAAGAGCATCCAGCTCATGGCAATTGGTGATGCTGAGATTCTGGAGATGAACAAGATTACATACTCCTAAAGGTAGTTCCCTCAGATCATAACAACAATCAAATTCCAGATCTGTGAGATTTGATTCTGTGACGCCGTTCATCAAAGCATCACCTATCTCACACATAACAAAGGAAAGTTTTTGAAGAGATGGCAAAATGAAGAGTGGTTGAATAGAGGAAGAAAATGAAACATGTTCGAATCTGATACTTGTTAGGTTAGCGAAAGAATCTGTCAATGGAAGATTGAGTAGTTGACCAGGATAAACACTACATGTACTCGAATATCCACCGGCAGAAGAAAAGTTAACAACTGAATTGTCTGCCAAACCGTAAATCCTAATTGAATTCCTCATCGTTTTCGCCTGCACATGAATCTGGAAGAACCTCAAGAGCTCGTTGTTCAAACGCGTCAGCTTATTTGAATGAAGAACTTTTTTGTTCATGGTCTGATACTTGATGCTGGAGCATTTGACAACGATCTCAATGGCATTCCACAGAAAAGAGATGAACTTTATCGTCTCTTTCTCAGGACGATCCAACACCTTGCTTAACCTCCAGCTTTCATAAAATACCTGCTCGATTCTTTGTAGGGTTTTTTCAAGGCGTTTGAGAATGCTTTTGAATCTGTGAGTTTGTATAATCTGCCCTACAACATGTACTGTTTCCTTTAATTCACCCAATACAAGTTGTAATGCAGTCTCAAATACTACAGCCATCGATAATTACAAAAAGAATGGAAACCCTGATTAAGATTTTATGTGAAGAGAAATCTGAGATGGAAGAAATAGAATTGATATCGATGAAGGTATTACTACTGAATTATATGTATATATATAATCTAGCCTTCAGTGATACGACACCCTGAATAAACGTGGATGTTTCTTGCATTTGACATTGAAATCTTCCATTCATCATTCATGACGCGTTCATATGTAAAAGCGCGAGTGTTGATTTGTTTATAATAGATACTGTAATTTAACACGTAAATGCTAATTCTTAGAATCTTGAATGGTGACGTTGGATAGATTACACACAGGAAAGTGACGAGATGGAACAAAACTTTCACAATTAAAATAATAGTCCCTGGATTATGCTTGAATATGTAAATTTTCATCGCCTTATAAAACATTTCAGTTTTTAGTCCTTCATGAAAAGTGTCTTCTAGTTAAGGAACTTACTCTTGCCTAGTTATGGTTAAAACTACTTAAAAGTGTCATTTTAAAGGGGCAGGAGTGAACAAGAAAAATCATGGTTTAATTGGAAATCTGAAATAGTTGGTTGTTGATTTGTTATAAAACAACAATCTATAATATATTTTAAATTTTAAGAGACCAAACTTGCGCACTTGAACCTAATGAAGGGATTATTAATGTATATGGGAAAATGGAAATGACGGCTATATTTCTACTACTTTTCTCTATCTTTCATCCTAACGTTTAGAGTAGACCGCAAAAATAATTCTTCTATTTAACACACATGTGTGAATTTAGTCCTTTTAAAAAACCATATACAAAGAATGCCTTTTTAGTCCTTTTAAAAAACGATATACAAAGAATGTTTTTATGGACATATTTGGTTGTGGATTTGACCAATGTTTTAAAAATTGGTTTTTTAATTGAACCAATATGGTGTTTGGTTTTCGATTTAACCGGTTTGAACGTTGGATCAACCAGTTTCTATAACTTTTATATATATATATATATATATATATATATATATATATATATATATATATATATATATATATATATATATATATATATATATTAGGAAATTGACATTTAAAAGTTAAAACATTAAAAATACTCATAAAAATAAGTTTTATATTAATCCAAATACATTAAAATAACACATAACCATAAGTTTTATTATTTAATGTCAATCTATATACGTTAAAAAAAAAAAGTATAATACCGAAACAAAAATATAGTTTTAGATGAATACAATTAAACATTTTAAAAAACTTTATAACATTTACTATGTGTTTTTATTTAGAAAAAACTAAATATATTTGAAAAAAAAAAATCACCAAAGTTTATTATACAAATGGTTCTTTTCTATATGTTTTTATTCGGTTTAACCAATTTATTTTAATCAGTTCAACTGGAATTTTCTAAAAACCGAACGATTCAATCAACGTTTAGAAATCAACACAAAATTGGTGATAGTTGAATCGTTCTGTCCCCCTGTTCCCGATCCAACCGGGTCGACCGGCCTATTCAAACCGGTTTTTATCCTTATTTAATTTGAAATGACTCCTTTAATATTCATCTTATCTTTTCTTTAATTTATTTTAATGTTTAATTATTTAATTTATGTATGCATCTAATATGTGTGTTCAGATTTGAATTTGATATTCCTTATAAGATTAGACAAAGTGGTAAGTATAAGGAATATAAAGCCTTTTGAATGTTAAACACTTAAGTTTTTTAATGGAATAGCCAAAAGGCCGTATTGTATATTGGTCAATGCAATGTAAGAAATAAAATATGATTTCTTAAATTATTGAAAACTTTCCCTTTTGACCTAGCTTCCGTCATAATAGAAAAATACATGTATGATATTCCATTTATTATTTGTTTGCACCACAAATCAATCTTTAAAAAAGGTGACATATGGGACAAAGCCCACTTTATTTAAGACTAGAAACGACAAACATTATTAGTTCAACTCCAAACCAAAGAACAAACTCAAGGCTTCCACAAGATGGTGGTTTCAGCAATCATAGAGGTAACCACATACGGATCCATATTCGACCCGGGCCTTCGGTCCTCAAAATACCCTTTTCCTTCTTTCTCAGTTTCTCTCCCTACCCGAATAGACACACCACGCTTTGCAACTCCCTGTGAAACACAAAATATATCTCACAAATATGTTAACGATCAAACTATCTCGATTATACTTGTTGTGACAACAAAAATGACTTGCAGATGAGTTCTTGGTAATAGTTCTTCTTACATTTATCGATAAATTTTATGGTATAACCTTTTATATCTTACTAAAAAGTTAAAAGGCAAAGATTTTTTTATTTCTCGTACCCAAGAAAATGTGTTGATGTCAGCGGTTTCATGAAGACCAGTGAGACGATGTTCATTGCCTTCGCCATAACTAGCAATGTGTTCTTCATGCCTAAGCCCGAGCTTTTCAATAGCCTTTTGGATAGCCTCATATCCACCCTCTTTCCTCATTGATTTTGTGCTAATATTTTTTACACATAATAATATTAGCCTAGCTAAACTATTATCTATATAAAAGTAACAATTGGTATATGATATATATACCTATAGTTAGTATGAGCTCCTGCTCCATTCCAATCACCCTATTGCAATTATTTAAAAACCATAGATGAAAAATGATTACCTATGTTTAAAAAACAATATATGAAGTAGGGTTTTCAAAACATAAATCTAACCGGAACTGGTTTTGGATTAAACGAGACAATCACTCCAGCAATTTCAGCAACCCGCTGTTAAATCATAATCATAAACATTCTTTGATCAAAAACTTACAAACTAATCTAGAGTTTTCAAAAGATGTAAACGTAAATCTTGAAGAAATGATTGAATCACCTCTAGAATATAACGAGCAACCCATAGCTCATCAGCAGCAGTTATTCCGGCTGAAGGCCCCACTTGAAACTCCCACTTTCACATTTGGAAAAAATATACATATTAGATATAATTTCTTGAATCAAAATGAAATTCTAAAGTTTACGATTTTATTCAAACTTAAAGAATATATAATTAATTTACCTGACCAGGCATAACTTCAGCATTGACTCCACCTATAGTAATACCAGCATAAAGACATGCCTTGTAGTGAGCATCAACAATGTCACGTCCAAACGTTTTTTCAGCACCAACCCCACAATAATATGGACCCTAATTGCAACATAGTAAATGAATGTTTGAAGAATCAAAAGCTAAAAAGTATAATAGAATAAAAATTATGTTAAAAGATCGAGGAAAAATTAAATAAAAACTATTGGTGTTTACTTGAGGTCTTGGGAAACCTCCTATAGGCCAGCCCAAAGGCCATTTGGTATCTTTTTGCAACAAGGTGTACTCTTGTTCAAGTCCAAACCTATAAAGCAAATAAGGTTATTTGTAGATATTGAGGACATTATTTGTATAACATCTTAATTAATAATAGTTTTTGAAGCATTACATAAAGTAATTATATCAAAGTATGTTGGAAAAAGATGATATGAATTTAAATAATATAAGAACTACCATGGAGCTTCTGCTACGACATCTGGATGGCCAAAAATTTTGGCTGCATCGAATCTTTTGTTTGTATAGATTGGATCCCCAAGTGGGTTGTATGCATCGCACAAGACCTTCACGATATAATAAATAAGAATATATTTTATGGTAACATGTATTAAAATAACAGTATATTTTATATATGGTAATATATATAAAAAGTCACTAGATTTTAATTCAACCCATATATTTTATTTCGATCAATGAAAATTATTTGTCTTTTAAAAATTCCAACATACCTCTTAACTAATATGTCTTATCTCTTAACTATATGGCATCATGTGTATTCTATAAAATATCATCTTGTTTCCTAAAATGACTTTCTCATTTACCGGTTAAACATTTTGTACATATAGGATTTAGTAAATGAGAATTCATTTCAAAAAGAGAAATTATATAACATTTTACCTTTTATGCCTACAATTATTTTTATTATTATTCCTACCCAGTAAAATTATGAAAAATCACAATTCAATTTTATTTTATTTGATATATTCTTAATATACTCTTAATGAGTTAGTTAAATAAAATATAAAATTATAACATTTTTATTGGGTAGAAACATTTATAGGCATAAAAAGTAAAAATCAATTTAATTTCTCAATCAGAAATTAAGTTTTATTTTAGGAACTACATAAGATGTCATGCAGACAGGGGGATTCTATCCATAGTTGAAATTTCAGTTTAAAAAAAAATCCGTTTTTTATTAATTAAATAAAAAAAAACAGTTAAACCATAAAAATACCAAAATCTGGTTGTATATTGCCTAAGAGAGGTTCAATATCCTTCTACTAAATATTCATATTTATTTTCATATTCACCAAATCTTGAAGTGTTAAAATCAAATGATGAGACGAGGAAAAAAATAATGCATTACACATTTCAATTGCATTACACATTTCAATCATTTACTAGGCAAGAAGATATAATAATATGATAAAATAGGAAGATCTTTTATTTTCCATTGCCTTATATTTTATAGAATTATAATGTTTATTGATAAACATACAAAATTCTTGTACCTTGTAATTGATGACATGTACAAAAATGACTATCATAATTATCTATTTTTGTGTTCTTCAAGGTAATGTTGTCGAGTATAATGTTTTTTTTTCAAAAAATCAAATATCCTTTTTGTTCTTATCCATTCTTATATTCAGTAGATCAGACAAATATCAAAAAATAAATGTATCAAAAACAAGAAAAAGAATTAAGATGGAAAATTAGACAACAACAAAAGATAAAATAACATTTTCTTTTTCTATTTTTCTATATGTAATATTGATGATACTGATAATTGTTACGAAAATATTCACAAAATCACAAACTACTTACCAAAATATTGTTGCCCCTCCTGAAAGGATCCTTGAAAACTGCTTGTGGGCTGTTCACTCATTTCAAATTAATCATAAATCTGGTTAGATGCCGAAATTTATTTATATATATTTATATAAAAAAATAAAAATAAAAAAAAAAAAAAAAAAATTAGAATTAAATTAAAATTAAATTGTTGGTTTAATTTGGAAAATATAGGGTTATGTTAGTGCACTCACTGTAAGATCACTTCGGTATCGTTGCCATGGGCTTGACCGGTGCTACTTCCATCGTAGTTCCATTTTGGAAGCTTTTGTGGATCGTCGATCGGTGTAGAAAGTGTCTTAAAGCATTAAAAAAAAAATTATTTACATAATGATTCAAGATAATTTTATATATTTTTGTAAAATAATTTTATTAGAGGATATAACAAATTTTCTTTTGCGTGATTTTCCTTGAACGTGAGAGCTTACTCTAGCTTTACTTCTGAGGTCGAGGCCAGATCCACCAATCCTATGATGAAAAAAATTAAAGAAAAGTTAATTTGTATTATGAAAGAACATTTAATAATGCGAAACTTAAAAACAATAGAAAAAAAAAAAGCAGAATAACATGTTAGAGAATTAATGTTAATATATCAACCTACGTAAAAACAAAAGAATTAACGAACTCCACAAATTTCATGAACTCCAAAAAGAAGTAATTAACACCGTTACACCGCATCAAAAGTTTTGTATCAAGCAAATTGAATCCGTCCACATAGCCATTATGATGAGAATGGTTTCATTTTTTTTTTTAAAAACAAAAACTGGATCACAAAAAGTTTTTTACTTTGGAAATATCGAACCATTAGTTTTTTTTTGTTATCTGGGTTCTTTTTATTTGTTTGTTACCAACAATGTTGCTAAAATTTAATAAAAACATGTAATTTTCTAAAATATAATACAAGACGAGACAAACATATGCTTTTGGTAAAACATAAAATGACAGTTTTTGGTACTTTTGTTATGTTCATTTTTTTTCTTAGTTTTTATATATAAGAAATAAAACTGAATCGAAAAAAATAATCAGTTTTTTAAAATAGTTTGGTCTTTTTGGTTTTGAATTTTCTTGTTTTTTTTTTTTTTGGTACCTTTAATTACAGTTTTGATTTTGATTTTTTTTTACATCCATATTAACCACCAACTTTTATTTCTCTAATTTCAAGTATGTTGGATGTCTTGACATCTTGTGATTGACAAAAAATTATAGAAAATATTATTTTTGAGGATACTTTTGTATATGTTTTCAAATCATGATTCTACTTTATTAGATATGTTGGATATCTTGTGATTGAAAATAAATATATGATGGTGGTTAATAGGAATATACAGAAAAAAATAGAAAAAAAAAATGAAATCGAAAAACCAACAGTTTGGTTTTTTGTTTAATAAAAACATATTCTTTTCGTTCATTTTGGTTTTTTATGTAAGAAACAAAAAATTGAACAGAACCAAAATACAAAAATTATGTCATTTTATTATATGTTTAATTAAGTAAATATGTTATAAATTAAAATAATATTTATTTCTATGAAACTAAAATATTAAGCATGCAGCCTTGTCTAGAATTAGATTTTAAGAATTCGCATGTTTTTGTTAAATTTTAAATGTTAATGAACAAACCAATAAAAAAAGCAATTAAAAATGAAAAAGTGGATTGATTTGGTATTTTCAAATTATATAAAATCAAAATTCTTTGGTTGTAGTGTTTGGTCAGAAGTTACATTGTATCTTGGAAAACAAAATGATGTTGTTCGAAAAAAATTAATATAAACAGTTTTTTATGAAAAAAAAATATATAGAATTATGAGTGGCTTTTAAAAAGAATCGTAATAACTTTTTAGATAAATTAAACATATTTTTTTTTTTTTGAATATATATGAAAAGTTGTATTTTTAATTAACTTTTCTTGTGATAAATGAGTCTTTTGAATTCTGATGACTTCATTATAAAATTGTAATAAAAATCTCAAAAAAATGATTTTACTACTATATTTTCTAAAATAAATATTCACTATTTTGTCATATTTATTTTTACACATGCGTGCACCGAAGAAACACTTGGCAACCACTTTTGTACTAAGTTAACATGTGTCATTGGTAAGTTGCCATGTAATGAATAACTTTATCGTCTCCACGTATACATTTCCAGATAAAGTATTGCAAACAATACTATTAGTATTACGAAACAAATTTTGTGAAAATATCATTTTATAGTGAATGTTATCATTAAACAAGTTTGTTAAAACAATAATTTATATAGTCAATATGCTCATTAAGCAAATTTATGAAAAAATAATAATAGTTTATAGTCTTGTTAAATAAGAAATTGTTTTTGATGACGTTGTATTTGATGTTTTTATAAGATGAAGGTAAAGTCCAAGATTGTTTCTTAAAAAGTCTTTATGGAGAAGAGAAATTGGACTACAATATACATAAACACTTATTAAACTATATCGCATTATCGCAACGATATGGGTTACAATAAGAGTTTTGTATCAAAGTTGTAAAAAAAAAAAAAAAAAAAACTATATAAACAATTTTCTATTTTTAAGTTGTAAAAATAAAATATAATGAGTGGTATAACTCTTTCTACTTTAAAACATAAATAAAAATGTATATTTGTATGAACAATGCATTTTGATTATAAAATTTATACACATATGTTATAAGTATTATGTATTTGATCATTTATACATTGATGATTGATTATCTTATCTACTGATCGTAATTTCCTAGCAAAACACTCATTAAAAGATTATAATAGTAGTATTATATTGATGCTCGCTGACATAAAACATGTCAAACACATTCGTTTCCTTGTCAAACAAAATCATAACTTTACTACTATAATTTACAAGAAATAAACAGAAAATAAATTAATACTGCGATTTGAAAGCTAACAATTTGCAATAAAAAAAAATAAAAATAACTGACCAAATGTACTCTGCAATGATGGTGGAGGGGTTGAGGTTGAGATTGATGAAATCTGTTACCCTCGACATCTTCTATGTTTTCTGGATTGGGGGATTTGGAAGGGGAGTTGCATTTTATAGAGTAGAAATGTAGAATGCCTTCACTTTAATGAATACACCCAAATCTTCAACCACTTTATTTGTTTTTTTGTTACTTAGTTTATGTAAATATTAATAAATACAATAATACTCAGTTTAGATAAATTGTAAAAAAGTCACTATATTACCGTAAAATTTTGATTTTTACGAGTTATTTTTTTCTCAATTATGTCGCTATATATATAATTTTGTTGCAATATCAACCAAATGACCGGTATTCTCTGTTCTCTCGGTAACCAGGTTTCCCGAATTACAATAAAATCGCTAAGTTTACTAAAATTTTGATTTTGACACTAAGTTTCAAATTGTAAAAAGTCACTATATTACTATAAAATTTCGATTGTAACACCAGTTTTTTTTTTTCTAAATTATGTTGTTACATTTACAATTTTGTTCAACATCAACCAACTCACCGATTCAAGAGATATTATTATGGTTTAGAAGTAGAAGCTCGATTTGTACAACAAGTAAATGAAATTCAGATCAATGATTCAAACTCACTTACAAGTCAACGAAAATGACATAATCATCCTTTCAGGAAATGTTATTGTAGTTTAGAAGCTTGGTTTGTACAACAAATAAATGAAGACCCCAACAAGGTCGATGTAGTGGTTCAAACTCAATAAGCATCTCATGTATTGACCTTGTAGAGGTCTTCATATAGTTATATAAATCGAGCTTCTAAACCACAATAGCATCTCCTGAAAGGTAAGTACGACATTTTCACTGACTTTTAAGTAAGTTTGAATCACTAGATTGACCTTTATACGTCATTTGTGAAGAAATAATCCGATGAGAATTAAACATTAAACATTAGAATAAAAAGTATCACCTAAAAGGATAAGTACACCATTTTCTCTGATTTTTAAGTGATTTTGAACCACTGGATCGATCTAAAAATATATGTAAAATTGGGCTCAATGCAAAACCTATATTTAAAACTCAATACTACCACATAAGATTTGACATGGCTTCTACATCACAATATTGTCATATCATTTATTTCGTAACATGCTAGATTGATGGTAACTAGTCAATTGGTTGACATTGCAATATCAACAAAAATTGTTTTAATATCAACAAAATTGTCGCAATATTTAAAAATTTGTTGCAATATCAACCAAAAATTGTTGCAATGTTAACCAATTGGCTAATTACCATCAATACAACAAATTACCAAATACATGACAAGACAATGTTGTGATGTGGAAGCTATGTAGAATCTTATGATGTAGGAATGAGTTTCAAATATAGGTGTTGCATTGAACCCAATTCCACATATCTTTTTAGGCCGATCAAATGGTTCAAACTCACTTAAAAGTCAGCAAAAATGTGTACTCACCCATTTAGGTGACACTTTTTATTATAATGTTTAATGTTTAATTATCGTAAGATTATTTCTTCACAAATGGTGTCTGAAGGTCAATCTAGTGATTCAAACTCACTTAAAAGTCAGTGAAAAGGGCGTACTTAGGAGATATTATTGTGATTTAGAAGCTCGATGTGTACAACAAGTAAATGCAGACCCATACAACGTCGATGCGGGAGATGTTTAGTGAGTTTGAACCACTAAATCGACCTTGTATGTCTTTTTATTTATTTGTTGTATAAATCTATCTTCTAAACCACAATAATATCTCCTGAAAGGGTGACTATGCCCTTTTCGTTGAGTTGTAAGTGGGCTTGAACTATTGCCCTTTTCGTTGACTTCTAAACTATAATAACATCTCCTAAATTGGTCAATTGGTTGATATTGCAACAAAATTGTAAATGTAATGGCATAATTGAGAAAAAAAAACTCAGTTCATTAATATCTTTCACAAAAGAAGAATATTCAACTTCATCTTCAACAGAAATTTCACTCATTTCGCTTTCATCAAAATCAGAAGTATTTTCATTAAAAAGATTTTCTTCCGATTTCAATTTTTGGCATAACAAGTTATATTTCTCAATTGAATTTTGTTTGAAATGGTTTTTTATTATCTTCTTTAGTTTAAATATTGTTCATCAATTTATCTTCTTTGGATTTGATAAATTCCTCAACTTTTTCAAGTCCAATCCTGTAAGAATCATGCAAAAATTCATCTGATGAAATCACATATTCACATTTACAACAATCAGAATCAATTTCATCTTCTTTAAATTCAAGAAATGGAAGAATCATCTTATGCAATTTTTCACCGATATCACGATTAAGATAGAATTGAGTAACATTATTGTATAAACATTTTGCTATAAAAAATATTAAGTTGCTGAGTCAATAACCTATTGTCTCTTTTCAAAATTATAACATTATCTTGAAGCCTAGTGATTTCTATGTTAAGGGATTCTATTTTCATCATTTTCTCTTCACTTCTGAAAGTTTCCCTGCTAAAGCTATCATCATGATCAGAATTCTTAATACAAGATTGCTTTATACATTCACTTAAATTGGAAACTGTAGCACACAATTAAGTTAGTTCAGAATCATAACGAGTAACAGGAGTATTAAGAGACTTATGAATAGAATGTACCTTGTTTATCACCTTTTCACATTCACTTGCATTCTCTTTGACACTTTTGGTTGCGTAACACGCTTTCGATTTAGCACCCTCGTCAGTGAAGTATTCTCGGCTTTCGGAATTAGTACTTCTGACCATCAGACACTTTCGACCAACACAACTCTTATCTTCTTTCACAACAAATCCCTTTCCATGAGTAGGCTTCTAGACTTCTTCATCTTCGAAATTTGTTGACCATACCTCAACTCTTTCATCACTATCATATGCATCTTCTTCAACTATTAGTGCCTTTCCAATACCATTTGACTTTTGAAGCTCTTCTATTTTATGAGTATAGTAAGCTTCATCTTTAATATCCTCATTCTTCTCATGCATCTTTCTCAGCATACACTCCTTAGAAAAATGATTTTTTCCATGACAGTAATTACAGTCGTAACCAGAGACTCCAAGCAACTTCTTCTCAACATTCTCTTCATCTTTTTGAAACTTCCTGTAACCTTCCCCTTTTTCTTTCTCAGATATATAGTTCTAAGTTTTAAAGGTTCCATTAAACTTGTTGCCTTTGTATTTTGATTATTTTTTTCTTGAATTTTTTTTTGGGATTGTTGACCATGAGTGCTCTGATTTCACTTATAAATTCATCATCATTGTTGTAAAACTTGTCGAGTTGTTCGATTACTCCTCCGAGTACTCGCTACTCGGCCCCTTGCCGAGGCGAGTTGCAGAATCCTCAGTACTCTCAGATTGGCTCCTTACTAAACTGAGTGGTATTGTAAAACCCATTCAACAATATACTTAATGATTTATTATTTAACACACACATGTGATTATTACTACATATATATCGTAAATTTCAACAATTATTCACGAAGTGAAACCATTATATGTTTTTTTGTTTTTGTGTATTCACATGTATCTATTTTTTTTATATTTCAATAAACTTTTGATTTTAACATATATAATTTCTCTAAAAATATTTCTACATGAATTACCAAATCCGAGTACTCCTCGAGTACTCCTGCGTACTCGTTACTCGATAGTCGGCCGGACAGGTACCGAGTAATGAGTTTTACAACCTTGTTCATCATCAAGACTTTCAGAATCATAATCTTCTTGATTCACCTTGGATGGTTTGGCTTTAGATCCTTTAGAATTAGCAACAAAAGCTAATGGACCTGCATTAGGAATACTTTTTGCTTCTTTCAAAACTTCCTTTTCATGAGATTTGAGAATTCCACCAGTTTGGCAAGAGAGTAGCTCTTAAAGTGTTCATGAGCTTTAATAGTAAAAACAATATGTTTCCACTCAGATCTCAATTCATTCAGGAAAGTAACCTTATGTTCAATATATGTTCTCTTCAACTAATGATTCATCATTCTACTTAATAAATGGTTAAAATGAGTAATAGTTTTTTCAATAGATTCGTCTAATTTTTGTTCAAATGAGACAAATTAAAATAAAAGTGTTGTTTGATTTGGATGAAGTAAATCCTCATCACATGAGTATAATTCTTTCAATCAAATCTGAATTTCATGAGCAGTTTCACAAGAACTTACCAAACGAAAGGTATCTGGAGGAAGAGAAAACCTCAAAATTTTGAATGCCTTCAGATTACACAATACCAATTTCTTTTCTTGAGTAACAATAACCTTATCTCCAACCAATTCATCAAATATCTTTTGAGAAGTAACAACTTCTTGAGTTTTTGTTACTTTGTATGGTTCATCTTCAATCACCTGCTAGATTCTTAAGCCATGATTTTCAATACCAAGAACATAGTCCTCAAAATGAAAAGCCCAGACTTCATAGTCTTCTAGAAAGAGAACCGATATACAATTTTTAGAACAATTCCACCATGAAGATCGAATGAAATTGGGTGAGAATCTTCTTTTGACATTTTCAAGAGAATTCAACAGAAATGGAGATTAGAATCAGATTTGTAAGCTAAAACAAATTTCAAACCAAAAATCAAACTATTTGAACTAAAAGTTTTTGATTAAAATTCAATGAAATATTGCAAAATGCGGAACAATCGAAAAATTCAAAATAACAAAAATAAGAACACAAAGAACTTGAAAAAATTTTAGATCTGAAAATTGCTTACAAAATTTCCTGCTTTGATACCACTTTATAGAATTTAAAGGAACGATAGATTCTAAGATGAAAATATCATATGAAAATGTAAAAGATTTGGATGAACACAAAGTTGTAAATAAGATCTTATTTCATTAGAGGTTTGAGAGAACAGTTTGTACAAAGCTTGTGCATAACTATTCTATGACCCAAAAACTCTTGCCTCTCTACTTACTAGTACTCCTATATATAGGTATCGAAGAAGCACTAGAAAGGAATCCTAAGTCGACAGTTCAAAATTGCATACCTAAGATTAAATAATATTCTGAAATTAGAATTACAACGACTAAATCGAAACCTAAGA